GCGGTCGAGAGGCATAAAAGTGATGACTGAAGCTTGCACTGAAGTGACGGGATACGAATCGAGAGATGGATATATTAGGCAAAGATTATTGTCTAGGAAAATGATGCCAAGGTTCTGCACAAAAAAGAATTTCAATATGAACTTGTAATGATTTTCTATATGGTGTACCTGTAAAATAACAAGTGAATTAAATCGATGTCACCCATGTAAAATTTATCATTATCCTGGAAAACATTAAATGACACCTAATTTTTGGTATACACTAAAAGTTGACAAAAAGTCGTTCGCGATGCGGCAGGGTAAGTATGCATGAAATGGCATGAAATTTTGCACAGGTGTTTGTTACAGCCATACAAACGATGCCTGAAAAGTGTAGCCTGCAACTCAAATAAGTGTTTTTTCCCTGCCCCCTACTGTACAGTCAACCCTCGCTTTACGCGGTTCCACTATATGCGTTTCCACGTTTACGCGGCACCCTGCCGAACACGGAATGCTCACTTTCCGCGGTGCGTGTACCCCTTTACGCGGAGAGCGGCTGGCGGTCCTCTCGCGCCGCGCTATTTTTGTATCCAAACCTCCCGCCCTCTCCCGCCATCCGCCATGTTGTGTAAGCGGCTCGAGTAGGTTGCGCAGTGTACAGTTGTACCCCACTTAACGCGGTCAATTGAACCCAGAGGGTCCCGCGTTAAGTGAAATCCGCGTTAAGTGAACAACAGAACATATGGGATTAATTCCAATAGAAACCGGCCCGACCCCCAAACTCCACTTTTTGAAGGCACATACCTATGTTGTAGTAAAAATAACATCTTACTTTTATGATGGTACATGCACACAATTAATACTTAAGAGAAATACAGTCGCCAAGTTAATGTCCATTCAAATAATGGACTCAACTCCCTCCCCCTCTCACACTACACTCACTGGCTCTTCCCTCTCAGAGAAATTTTTGGGGGAAAACCACTAAATTTTAATAAATAATACCTCAAACTAAAGTTAGGATAATACAATTGACATTGCTGGATTCCTTGTAAGACCAGGAATATTTTGAATATAAATGTCATATATTTTGCACAAAAGATAACATAGTTACCTAGAGAAAAATTTTTATCTAAAAATTGTATGTTTAATCCAAAATATATGATGTTTATATTCAAAATGATCACCAAATTATAAGAATTCCAGCAATGTAAATTATATTCTGGCCGGGTAATTTGTATGAATTTTATGAGCTAAAACAGGCAGTCAGGCAGGGTGGCGGGTGGGGCAAATCTAAAAATAGCGTCTCTAGCCGGACACTCACCGCGTATATGTGGAAAAAATCCGTGTTAAATGAAAGTTCAGCTCTGGCGAGGCACCGCGTATATGATAAAACGCGTTAAGTGAAACCGCGTTAGGCGGGGTAATACTGTATGTCTTTGTTGCGTTATCGGTGACGTCATATGACGTAGCGGACTGTAATTGGGCAAAGCATCCTTATCTCCCTCCCTGCTAGCTGTGATTGGTTTAATGTAGTACTATGACGTGCCCCGCCGCGGGAGCATTCAAGCCCCTTGACCTACCGCGTCAGTTAGACCCCTCCCGGCTACCCCGTGTATATCGGTATCCATTATTCCATAAGAGTGGCTTCCACCGGACCACCACCACCACCACCACCACAAAGAAACCTTGCATTACCTGAACCCAGCCGCCCTAAGCCAAAGAAGACACGGCGTTCCTTAAGCTACGAAATAAAATATAAGATCATACAAGAGTTGGAGAAAGGAACAAGGCAGGTTGATCTCGCGCGCCAGCATGGTGTTAACGAATCAACTATCAGGACAATTAAGAAGGATGCAGCCAAGATAAAGGAGCACATGAACTTCACAAAGTCTACAGGTGCTTCTATGATCAAGTATTTTCACAACCAGGTGCTTCTCAAGACGGAAAAATTACTTGTGAGGTACTTGGTGCGTCAGGCGCGACGGAACATGGCGGTGGACACGCGCTCAGTTAAGGAGTACGCACGTGAACTGTATGCTGCAGTGTCACGAAAGATGGGAATTACAGAGCCCAAACCCTTTAATGCTTCCTCTGGGTGGTTACAGAGGTTTAAGAAGAGGAACAAGATCACCAATATCAACATTGGTGGTGAAGAAGCGACTGCCGACCGTCTTGCGGCTTGGGAATTTCCTCCGTTTTTACGTGAGATTATGGAGGAAGGACAGTACACCGACGACCAGGTGTTTAACATGGACGAATCTGGTCTTTTTTGGAAAAAGCTACCTTCCAAGACCTTCGTTGTGAAGAATGCCAGCAAGTGTCGGGGCCGGAAGCTGCAGAAGGAGCGCATCACCGTCCTGTTTACCACCAATGCCTCCGGTACCTGTAAGCTCAAGTTATCGGTGATCCACACAGCACGCAAGCCACACGCCTACAAGAGCATGGACATGACCAAGCTAAATGTCCACTGGCTGACCGCACGTAAGGCATGGATGTTCTCTACACTGTCCCTCTCCTGGTTTGATGACTGTTTCGTTCCCAATGTGAAGAAATTCTGTGAGCAACAGAATGTGCCATTCAAGATTTTGTTGCTGCTGGACAACGCACCAGGACACTCGCCCCTACTGTTAGATCGTCACCCCAACGTAAAAGTGGTCTTCCTTCCTCCCAACACTACGTCTATAATACAGCCCATGGACCAAGAATTGATCTGTAAAGTAAAAGCTGCATTCTCTGCTAAAAAATTCAACCTCCTGAACGACTACACCAACACCAACACCAAGGAAGAGTTGCGTAACCTGAGTGACACCAACACCGATAGCAAGAGCGAAGAAGACGAGGATCAACAGTTGGCAGAGCAAGAAGTACTTTTGAAACAATTCTGGAGAACAGTCAACGTCAAGAAAGCTGTGGACTTCTTGGTGGAGGCATGGGATCAGCTGTCTGTAGCAACTGTTCGTCACGCATGGAGACATGTGTTGCAAGGCATTCCGGATGTTAGGCAGAGTAAATCTGTGACTGGTGAGGTTCAGACTGTTGCAGTAGCAGTGGACCTTGCCATAGAAGCTGCGCAGAGTGTTACAGCTGCAGGCTTCTCCGAGACCACCAACGACGACATCGTGGAGGTGATAAGGGATCCTGATGTGACTACCGACGAGATGGTAGATGATGATGACGTCAGTGAAGAGGCAGGTGGTGCGTCATCCCGAGAAGAATGCCGCTTATCCCATAGTAATGTAAGGGGTGCCATCGAGTGTATTGAGAAAGTCAAGCTCCTCCTTTCCGACGACCCTGACGCAAACAGGTATGAAATCTTCACTACCCAGCTGTTGCAAACTATGGAGCCCTACATCAAGGTTCATCACGACAACATAAACACCAGCCGTCAGCAAAGCATAACAGAGTTCTTCGCCCGCAACTCACCACAGCCAGCCCAAGCCAGTGATAGTGACAGTGATGGTGACTTTGAGGGATTTGTCAGGGAGGCCCCGAAAAATGTGGAGGACAGTGATGGTGACTCACCTGAGGGCCAGTAGTCTGCCTTCTGCCTCGGAACCAGCCGCCGTTCCCGTACGCCGACCCATCTCTTCTACTAACGTAAGTGTTAAACCTAACCTTGATTTTCCTAACATGACCTAACCTTACGTAAGTGTTAAACCTTGATTTTTTCTAACCTAACCTGACTTAAGTGTTAAACCTTGATTTTTCTTTTACCTGGTACAGTATATTATTCTCTTATTGATATTTCTCTTCTATATTATGTGTGTGTGTGCATACCATCATAAAGTTAAGATGTTATTTTTACTACAACGTACGTATTGTGTAGGCAAAAAGTGGAGTTTGGGGGTCGGCCCAGTCTATTTCAATTAATCCCATATGTTCTGTTATTCCATTTACGAGTTTCTCGTTTTACACGGTAATCCACGGGTTCAATTGATCGTGTAAATCGGGGTATTACTGTATGTCTTATTTTCTCTGACAAATCACTTGTTTTATGTCATGTTGAACTGTGATCAGAACATTCTTTAGATTTTATCTGGTGTATTTACTAATATTTTAGTCAATATATAATGTTTGAAATATTATGTGTCCATGAGTGTGAAAGCAATAACCTCCCCAAATTTTGGGCTGATTTTATATACAGGTTGACAATCCTTTATCCGAAATCCTTGGGGCCAGAGGCATTTCGGTTTTCGGAATTTTTCGGTTTTCAGAATGGTTAGGTTTTTTTTTTATGTGTATTAGCCCACCCGAGCATAGATCACTGACCCACATTGGGGCCTGGGGGTCTAAAATATAATAAAAATTATAATAATAATAATAATTCATAGGTCTAGGTCGTGTTTCTCACTTTTGATCTTTTTTTCATTCTTGTATTTCTTTACTGTATTATTATTTTATTATTACAGTATTATTGTTATTATTATTATTATTAATTTTATTATTATATTTTATTATTATTATTATTATTATTATTATTATTATTATTATTATTATTATTATTGTAATCATTATTATTTTATTTTGGTGTATTTTTATTAAAAATTTTATTTACTATGAATATTTATTATTATTATAATTATTATTACTATTACATTTTCGCCCCCCAGGCCCCGATGTGCGTCAGTGATCTATGCCTGGGTGGGCTAATAATCCCTGTTAAAAAAAAAAAAAAGAAAAAAAAAAGCCCCACAAGAAACTTTTGGTTTTTAGAGCTTTTCGGTTTTTGGAATTTCGGATAAAGGGTTGTCAACCTGTACCTGTACTGTACTGGACTCACTTTTGAGATACTGTACTGTATGCATCTTAAAGTCTGCAACTATTGATGTAAAGTTTTGTTGAATATTGGAGGGGAACAGCTGTCAGTCCAATTGGTCTGTGGTGAGTTATTAATGTTTTACCTTTTTTTCAAATTTTTTGTATCTTTTTCTGATTTATTTTCTTCAATCATCACTAGATTTGATATGTTTTTTGGAAAACACAACTTTTGAAATATAACATATTCCTCTGTTTATAGTTACAGGTTATACGCCTTCATCCTCCAGTGACATGAGTTCCATGCCACCCGAACCAACAAAAGCTGAAATTAACCAACTTCGTACTGCTGCTGTGCAAAAGATTGATACAGAAGGCGTAACTTATGATCCACAAGATGTGAAGAGGATAAGAAGTGATGATAAATACATCAGACGGTTTTTAATGCACCACGACAATGACCAGAAGTTAGCTTTGGAGATGGTGATGGACACGCTTAAGTGGAGATATGAGAATCAGTGCAATGGTACTTATATTGGTTCTGTAATTGGTTTTCTTCAATTTCATACACTACAGTAATGCCATTATAAAATTGCTTCTTAAACCTGATGACTAAATTATTTGGTTAGGCACTCATTTAATATAAGGTGTTGTAGGAGTATTTTAACACTTTTATTTCCAGGTCACTTTTCTCAATATGCATAAAGATATTTATTTTCAGTTAACTGTTATTCTTTTGATTTTTACCATTGTTCTACTAGAGTACACTTAGTATTTATTTTTACTGGTACAGTAGATCCCAGATTTAACACAAGAGTGGAACCAAGCATTGTCATGCAAAATTTAACTGTGTCAAATTGATTATATACAGTTAAACCTCCATAACTCGGCACATATTGGGCTGAGGCCATGCCAGTTACAGGGGGTCTTCATTATTCGTTGGGGATGTGTTCCAGAGAAATGCGGCTTAAAGTGAAACGTTTTATAATGAGGAAATTCATCACAAGAATTAAAGAAATTTAGGATATATGATCAGGGTGTGTTCCTGGAGAGAGAACACTTCATTAAATCAGCTTACAGTGGGGTCATTAGAACATACTGTATAATATTTAATATTGAAATGTGTTCATACCAACGTTATTTATTACTTTTGAATGATACATGATGGCTCGATTTGGCTACAGTGAATATACCAGGGCATATGGAGATGTCTCATACACTACAACAATATTTAATAAGTTCTGGTAAATATGCTATAATATTATTTACTAAGCACTGAAAACAGATCCTGTGGTGACCACCAACCCTCTTGAGCAGTGACAACATCAGTGCTTGAAAGATGGTGAGTGCTGGCTACATTGTCAGGAGAGCACGAAAGATCAGCTGATCCCGCTCTATAAGCAAGAGACCGAGAGTGTGGTTGAGTGTGGATTTTTTTGAGGGGGAAATTGATAATTTTACGATAATATTAATCTGGTACCAAATGAACCTTAATGATAAGGGAATTATGATGAAATGGGTGAAACTGAATACTGTTGTTATAAAGGAATCTCTGGTTGATGACCGTGGGAGAGTTGTCCCCTCAGTCCAACCAACACTCTCTTCCTCCTCCTCTGCAACCCACTACCTACTCCTCTCCCCAGCTAAAGTTGAGCTGACAGTTGGGACCCCTGGTATGGCGGTCGCCTCTACGGATTCTTCATCAGGGGACCCATCTCCAGGGGTTAACTCTGCTGTGGGTCCATCAGATGGGTCTACATTTGGGTCATCTGTGGCTACCAAGCCACAGACACATCTATCAACCCTGGGGTAGGACAGACAAGCCCAGCCCCTCACAAGACCCCCCTCAATAGGGCATGTCATGGTGCATCCTCCAGGCTGCAACACCCAAACTAAGCCCAAATTTAAATGGCTGTTGGGGGCTGCACACTCGCATACCCCTACCTAGATCCCCAATAATCATGGTTACCATAATCCAATGGAATTGTTGAAGCTTACGAGCCAACTGGGAGGAGCCCCAGTTTCTTCTGAGCAAATTCTCCCCTTTATGCATGTATCTCCAGGAGACAATGTTAGGTGTTGATAAATAATAATGGTCCTTGTACTGAGCCTTGGGGTACTCCACTAGTGACGTTACCCCAATCTGATTTAGTGCCTTTAATACTTACTCGCTGTTTCCTGTCGAAGGCCTTGCTAAAGCCGAGGTATTCCACATCATAATTGTGCCCGTCGTCTACTGATTTGAAAACAGCTCGAAAGAATGCTAACAGATTAGTCAGACATGAATACCCACTTGTGAAGCCATGTTTGGAATCATCGATCAACTTGTGCTTCTCCAGGTGATTTCTAATAGAGTGAAAATATTTCTTCCAGCAATTTGCCTCCAATTGATGTTAGACTGATTGGACGGTAGCTGGGGGATAGTGATCCATCTCCCTGCTTGAAAATCGGTATCACATTTGCTAACCTCCAGGATTCTGGCACTACACCTGTTTTTAATGACGTTAAACAAATTTGCTAAGGGCATACTAAGCTCTTCCATAGCTTCCTTTAATACTCTGGCAAATATCTCATCGGGACCTGATGACCTATTAGGCTTTAGTTTGTCTATTTGCTTACTAACATCGTTACTAGTCACTACTATCTCGCTTAATCTATTCTCTTCACCATCTCTGTATATAGTCGGTGCTTTGGGTATCATGTTTAAATTTTCGGTGGTGAAAACTGTTGAAAAATATCTGTTCAGATTATTGCTCATTTCTCCGTCGTTATCAGTTAGCTCACCGGTATATGACTGTATTCGTTCAATCTTATCTCGTGTTTTAGTTTGATACATTTCGAAGAATCCTTTGGGGTTTGACTTAGTCTCCCTTGCTACCTTCAGTTCATTTTTCTCTTTGCTTTTCTTATCTCGGTCTTAACCCTACTGGCCAATACCTTATATACCTACCGTAATAATCTCGGAGGTAAACTTCACCACGATTATTCTCCTACCTATAGCCTTCCTTTGTCCAATAATATTCTTTAAATAATTTTTTATCCTTTTGGGGTCATTGTTATTTGATCTGAGTTTTATGTATGGTATATGTTCTGCCTTTGTGCATTAAGTAACTCATTATTTAAAGTGTCTTAGAACTCGTCAACCTCAGATCTCGTGATCAGGTCATCCTCAACCATCGTATTTTGTGAGGTTATCGTGGGTACATTGTGTGAAGTCACCTCACATGAGGTGTGTAATTCACCCCCAAACATGATACCCCTTCTCTGAGCTGCCTTTTCAAACTATCAAAGTTTGACCTTCTGAAATCTGGTTGTGCGGTAGTATTTAAACTGAAATACATAGACCTAACCACTGACCAGCTGGCGCCAGATGTGCTTGACAAACTACACACAGCATACACACTCGTGCTCTTCGTATTTCTTATTTTATAGTTTACAATGTATTTTCTACATTTATAAGTCACAGAGTATTGAAATGATTTTTCCACAACTTTTATAGTTTATTACCTGTAACAATGGCAACATGCATTTCCATCCCTCAAAGCCACAGCTGATGCATTGTTGCCAAATTTCTCACAACTTCCACATTCCTGGAGCATTAAACCTATAAAAGTTGTAGAAAAATCATTAAAATACTTTAATGTGACTTAGAAATAAAGATAATACTGTATACAGTAGTTTAAAACTATAAAATAACAATATAATTTTGTGTCTGTCTGTCTGTCTGTCTGTCTGTCTGTCTGTCAGTCACACATAGTCTTGGCAGCTGTGGCCATGAGCCCTGATAACTCAATGTGATATCACACATCATTTATATAAAAGTTTGGTGTTAATAAATCACTTGTTTAACGAAAAAATTTTTTATTAAGGAACACAGTAACAATTTGAGATTTTTAATACCAGTACCCTTCATATACAGTAAAGTGTACTTATTTTTCCCTTATTAATCAGCTTGTCATTTAATTTTTATGCAAATTACTGATCATGTGAGAATATATAATAATAAATGTTAGAGGGGTATGTGATGCTGAGGTATGTTCCTGACACACACACACACACACACACACACACACACACGACTACTACTATTTTTTGTGGCCTCCAGCTCCCTAATAGCTACACCTTTGCCGCCATTTTATTACCTTAAAATTAACTATCCTAATAAATAGTAGCTACCCTAGCTGTGTTGTTGAGTTAGTTGAGCCGCAGGTCTATGCGGCATTCAGTATTTGCGCTGTAAATATCTGCAGCAGTTGTGCGGCTTTGGGGCTGATGCTCGTTCCTCTGAGGCAGAGCAAAGGCAGACCTAAGAAGAGAAAGGAGGTCGACATCTCAACCAGGCTGTAACATAACTTCTGGCTGCTGCTTCTGTTGGGATAACATCTCAGGGTGTCTGGTGAGGATCTACTTGGTCCCCACCAGATGTTTGGAGACACCAGAGGAGTGGGCTGTCTGCGGTGGTGGACAGGTGGGAGCCAAGATACCGAAAGTGGGTAACATTAGAGAGGGTAGTACCGTTAAGCTGGATGGATGGTGGAGGTGTAGCTGAACCAGGGGCAGGTTGAAAGAGAATCTGCGTCTTGCGTACATTCACCTCTAGGCTGAAGTGGTGTTCAGGATCTCCTGTAGGTCGTGTTCGGTGTGAGCAACAAGGGTGAGATGTCTACATACTGAATTACAGTAATGGAAGCTGCTGACACCTTTGTTCTTGCCTGGAGTTGTTTTATGTTGAAAAGACCCCCCTTCACCCGGTTTTCGGTGTTCACTCGCTGCCTAAATTGACACTGGCACGAGTAAGGATGGCAGCCAAGAAAATGGAAAAGAGAGTTGGTGCCAGTACACCCTATTTAACCCCTGTTTGGATGGGGAAGAACTCAGACTGGGTGCTGTTGTGCAACTCTCTCTCTCTCAAACAAGGGAATTAAGACAGCAGGCACGAGGGTGAAGGTCTTATTGTATGACACATCTGCGTGTGTGTGACTGCATGGTAGAGGGTTTTATCGGCTGTTGAGGGTTGGCTGCAGGTCATTTCAGTCATCTCTTGTCATTTCTTTCTGCTTTTTTCCATATTTTAAAATGTTGATGTAGCATGGTACTGAAGGAACCAACTTGGCTCATTTATACCTACCTATCCACCAATCTCACTAAAAAATACTTTAGGTTTCATGTTTTACATTCAGACATCCTTCCAGGTCATGAGACACTAATCCCCCCCACCCAAGAAAGGGTGAACTGACATTCCATCAGAAGGTCAGTAATACAAGACTAATCCCTATCCTGACATTGCATCAGGTCGGTTACATGAGACCCACTAATCCCCCACGGCTACATGCGGAATTGGAAAATACCAGTCTTTGCTGTAACACACACACAGCTTCACTCTGATATATCCCATAAGTTTTTTTAATATTCAAATATATTTATTTAACCAAACTTTTAGATAAACTATTCTGGATTATTATAGAGAAAGAAAATGGAGATTTCTAACCAATTAGAACTGTATTTGGTAGATTCAGTTATTTAGGT